TTTTTAAATTGGGGGCAGAGGGATCGGGAGGAGGACACAGGGGAAGTTACTTGCTTAGATTCTGTTGATTGTTACTGACAGAACCATGACTAAAGTCTGCATTTCTTAACACTCATTTCAGAGCCTTTCTGCATATTCACATTGGACATATCCCCTTCTACAAACAGTAAGCTTTGAATACCCCAGGCTGCTCAATACATAGTATATGGTCAGATTTTTTATTGATAATTACTGTCTCTAACTCACCATATATAATACCTAGCATATTTTTTGGCTCTTAATGATTGCTTCTTGATCATGTTGTTTACCCTCAGTCCCACATTCAAGGAATACTTTCTGACAGTTGGAGATAACTCAACAATCAGCATGAAATCATCTCAGAAAAATCCTTTCCCAAACTGGTTCTTATCTGAATGGCCTCTAAACGGTTCACTGAACCAAACTGAATTCTGGGACAGCTTTGAAACAGTTGTTTTTCCCCTCCAAACTGAGGTCAGTTTTAGATCTGCAGGATTTTCCTCACCAGGCCCAATCCTGTTGAGAAAGGTTATCTAGGATCTATGAGGGGGTGGGGGTGGGGGGAACGGGGCAGGGGTGGGTATGCCTAAGCCTAAGCCTAAGGTGTGGGGCTAGGGTCAAGAAAAGGCTTGTGGAAAGTGATGATTACCTAAGCTGAGCTTCAAAGGATGTCTCGGAGTTAGGCCAGGGGAGGGAGTTGCGGCAAAATTGTGGATAGCATTGGGGAATGGCAAATTATTTAGTTTGGCTGGAGCATAAAGTACAAATTAGAGATGAGTAGAAAGATAGAGACTAGATAGTAAAGGGTTTATACTTAAAATGCTGTATTTCACATCTTTATATCCACATGCAAAAGAATGAAATTGGAGCCCTACCTGACACCATACAAAAGTTTACTCAAAGTGGATCACAGACCTATATATGTAAGAGCTAAATCTATAAAACTATTAGAAGAAAATCTAGGAAAAATCTCTGTGACCTTGGGTTGGTTAATGGTTTCTTAGCTACATTAGATAAGTTGTACTTTATCAAAATATAAAACTTTTGTTCTTTAAAGGACACTATCAAGAAAATGAAAATAGAACCCACAGAATGGGAGAAAATATTTGCAAATCATGTAAGGAATATCCAGAATATATAAAAAGAACTCTTACAAGTCAACAATAAAATGACAACAGAATTAAAAATGGACAAAGAAATTTATGAATAGCCAGTCATCCAAAGATATTCAAGGCCAATAAACGTGAAAAGATGGCTCATCATCATTAGTCATTAGCAAAATGCAAATCAAACCACACTTCATACCCACTAGGATGGCTAAAATAAAAAAGACAAACAGTGGTTTATATTGGCAAGGGTGTGGAGAAATTGGAACCCTCATTCATTGCTGATGATAATGTAAAATGGTACAGCTACTTTGGAAAACAGTGTGGCAGCTCTTCAAAAAGTTAAACATGGAGGTACTATGTGACCCAGCAATTCTACTCTTAAGTATGTACTCAAGAGAAATGGAAAGATAGGTCTGCACAAAAATTTGTACATTAATGTTTGTAGCAGCATTATTTATAATAGCCAAAAGTGGAAACAATCCAAATATACTTGAACCGACGAATGGCTAAACAAAATGTGGCATTTCCGTACAATGAAATATTATTCAGCAATAATAAATGGATGAATGTGCAACATGGATGAATCTGTAAAATGCTAAATGAAAGAAACAAAGGGCCGCATATTGTTTGACTGCATTTATATGAAACTTCTAGAATAGTCAAATCCATAGAGCTGGAAGGTAGATTAGTAGTGGCCAGAGACTGAGAAGAGGAGGAATAGGGAGTGATTCCTAATGGGTTTGGGGTTTCTTTGGGGATGACGAAAATATTCTAAAATTAGATAGTAGTGGTGGTTACTTCACTCTGACTATACTGAAAATCACTGAATTGTACACAATAAAAGGGTGGACTTTATGGTATGTGAATTCTATCTTGATAAACCTGTTATAAAAAGAACTGTATTTCGTGAAAAATTTAAATACTCTTGCAAGCAATTTGGATTTTTTTCTTTAAAGTAGTGGTATGTATTTCCTGAAGAGTTTTAAACTCAAAAACAATTGATCAGAACATTACTTTGGAAGCATATGAGTAATGGTGGTCATGTCAATGATGTGGCAGAAGACTAAGTCTAGATGCTTAAAATATTTATCCTCAGTTTTCTGCCCTTAGCAAGTATGAAAATTATGTTACTAATAGTGAATTAGAGAATTTTAACTTTGTACATGGTAATATTTTATAATATCCAATTTGTTCTCATTTAAAAAAATAATAAATTGCTCAAGGTAATTGAAAAAAGAATAGCAGTTGCAGTATATTAGAGATAATATTGATTTTAAGATTTACTCCAGTTTGTAACTTTGACTCCCGTCAATTTAGAGACAGCGAAATATGATTTATTTTAGCCAGAAGACCAAGATTCTTGATGAATCATAATGCTTTAAAGACCTTTCATTAATTAACATGGATTTTGATGAGGGAAGGCTCAGAAATCAGTTTCCTGAAGGTTTTTTGTCTTTTCCCCCCTTCTTTTTGTGAAATAACTTAATATGCCAAAATAAGTTACATATTAGGAAATATTTTAGGCAACATAGAAGGCAAAAATAGCAGTAGTCATTTTAGTTGTCTGGTTTTTTAGTGACTCTAAAGAACCATAATTTTAAAACTGTTATCCTTCAGAAACTTCTGGACTGATAAACATTTTTATATGTTGTATTTATAAGTCAAGCCTGTAGTAAATATTGACTTTGGCAAACTACTCATCAATAGTTACTGTCATGATTTTTCTGTTAAATATGTGCTGGTGTTAAAGATTAATAAATCTATTTTTAGGAGAGTAGATTGTGTACAGCAACCATTTTGGATACTTGGTGTAACTTGTGTTGTCAATAGAGAGTGTGCCCTCTTGTGGTCATTGGGAATAAAATTTCAGGTGAAAATAATCATCCTAGCTTTGTATGAGTTCACGTTTATCTGTTTTTCCGTAACAGAATCACCCATACTCAGAATTCTTTTTCAATAAACAAACAAAAAAAGCCCATAGCATAATTTTTAAATGGTGAGAGATTGGAGAAAATATCATCTTATTTGGAGTAGGTGCTATAAAAGATGTGGCTTATAGGACAGAGTATAAAGGAGAAGCCAAAAAGAGAAAAATATCAAAGTGAGAGGAGAGGCAAATAGTTGTGATAGTGTTTGAGACACTTTATGACTAAAGTTGATGTGATATACCTGAATATTTTCCAGCTTCACCTGCCCCCCTTTACAGAATGTTCCCAGAATATTCTGGTTCATTATTTATATATCTTTTTCAAATATTTATCCAGCGTTATTTGTTTGAGACAGCTATCTCATTTAATAGAAATTACGTTTAGCTTGAAGTGTCTTAAATCTGTTTCTACTGAGTCTGATAAGTGGGCATGATAAGTGTTTGTCAGTTGTGAGGACTGTGTTTGACGGATTGATTTTTAAATGACTTTTCCCTGCAAATTTCATTTTAATTTTTTCCCTTAATTCGTATGGGGAGATCTTTTAATACCTTTGTTCTTGTTTGAGTTAAACGATTAAATTTTATATTTTCAGTGATGGCTGTGCCTCATACGTACCTTCTTAGATCCTTGGCCGATATTTTTAATGCCCTAGTATTCTTAGAAGGATTTTACTGTTAGTGGTGTTAACACTTCTTGTCAGGTGATTCACTGATCTTCACCAGTCCATTAATACGGGAGTGTTGCAGCTAAGAATTATCCTAGTCACATGAATGGATCTCTCTGTGATCAGGGAATTGTATATGTTGTTCTTCATTGGTTGATATGAAAATTAATTTATTGTTTAAGTTAACAGTTTAAAATATCATTTTGAAAGTTCTGATTCAGTTACGAAGCATTTTAAATTGACAGTTACTGCTATTTTTATACAAATTGAAAAGACAGTTTCTGCTTACTTAGACATAATTACATGATTGTAAATACCAGGAATCTAATATTATGCATTGATTTTTAAAGTAATTTTTATTTTTAATATGTGGCTTGCAAAAATATATGTGGTTTGTATTGAACTACATTTATTTGACTGCACCATCAGGTGTGTTTAAAGGATGCAGGGGGGCTGTTTTCATAATTATATAATTGCATATCTTTCGTATTCTGAGGTTTTTAAATGAAAAAAATTTAAGGCTAGGTTATCAGTTCAAAAGTTTTGCTAGTCTTTGAATGAATGGCAATAAAGAGTAATGCTTAAAATGCTCAGGCTCTAGAGTCAGACTGCCTGGGTTTGAATCCCAGCACTGTCACTAGCTATATGACTTTGACAAGTTCTTTAATATCTCTGTGCTTCAGTTTCCTCATTTGCAATATGGGAATAATATATTTTCTACCTTATAAGATTGTTGAGAAGATTAAATGAATTAATGTAAAAACACTTAGAGTAGTGCCTGGCACATACATACTAAGGTCTGTGTATATTAGCTATTATTATTATTGCCAATATTAAATTTACACATTGATGTTGAAATTCATTGTGAAAGGGGCCGGCCCGGTGGCGCACTCGGTAGAGTGCGGCGCTTGGGAGCACGGCGGCGCTCCCGCCAAGGGTTCGGATCCCATATAGAGACCAGTCTGCTCACTGGTTGAGTGCGGTGCGGGCGCGACACCAAGGGTTGCGATCCCGTTGCCGGTCGCGGTACGGGTGCGACACCGAGGGTTGCGATCCCGTTGCTGGTCACGAAAAAAGACAAAAAAAGGAAAAAAAAAAAAAAAGAAGAAATTCATTGTGAAGAATTTACTATTTGTTTTGTAAATGTGAATCACTTTTGGGTTTCTTGTATTAAAAAAATTTTCATATAATTGAAAATAAACAGTAAGCTAAAATGCTATTTGATCAAGCTTTTTGTGAAAGCAGTTTTACAGTAATCTTTTTCTTCTTTCTTTTTTTTAGGCACGGAATGTTAACACTGGTGAATTAGCAGCAATTAAAGTAATAAAATTGGAACCAGGTAAGTTATTTGAAATTTCATGTTTCCTATTGCTAGGAAGCCATTGGATATCATAAGGCTTATTATAATGATGTTTGGTCAACATTCCCTTGTTTTTCCCAACATCTTCAAGGAAATAGAACCGGTTGGTTGATTTTTCCTGTATTGAGACTTGCATCCACCTTGCTCAATTCTTCTCTGAAAAATAACTCATAATTGGAGAGAGAAGAGAACTTCTGAAGAGAGTTTCTTCCTTCTGATCTCAACTGAGCTAACTTGTGACGAGTTGGTAGTGTTATATTTCCAGGTTAATATTGTCCTTTGGTGAGGGAGCATTCCACTGAGTGCCATGCAGTGGAAAGAACTGAACTGAGATTTGGGAGGGGTTTGTAGTCCAGTTCTTTGTCTCCCACTCCCTTGCTCTGTGATCTTTGGCAAGTAGATCCATCTCTCAGTTTTCTTAGTAGGCCTGCCTCTCACATTCTGTGTGTCATTAATATCATTCTGTATGTCATTAATAGTTACCTTCCAACTTGAGCCGCTTATTGTAAAGTCCCGTAGGACTAGTTCATATTTTTTTGTCTGCATCAGGTATATTCTATTCTTGGATTCTCCCTACCCCCCTCAAAACCCACATCTTTTTGAGCTAAGTACTCTCTCTTATTTATCCTTTCTTAGAAATCCCTTGCCACTCTTTCTTCCTCCTACGATAAGCAGGTAACTGGGCTAGTCTCTAGACTGAGTTCTGTAGCAGTTAGGTGCCTTTCTTATGACTTCTTACATCACAAACTGATGATATGAGTTTGTTGGTGAAATAGGTTTTAGCTTCAGTATGAACAGAAATCCATTCAGAGATTTTTCAAGGGTGGGCAAACTTTCTGTTAAAAAAAAAAGTCCACAGTGAATATTTTAGGCTTTGCAGACCACGTATGGTGTCTGGGTGTCTGTGTACAGTTCTTCTTCCCGCCCCCCACAATGTAAAAATCATTCTTAGCTGAAAAGCCATTCTTGGAAAACAAGGCCACCTATTGTTATAGTTTACCCACCCCTGATTTAGACCATCAGTAAACTTTATAGACGTGCCATTAAGATGAAATTTTAAGGATATGATGATTGACTGTGATCAAACCATACTGAAATATAATGAATAAAGAACAGTTTTTCAGTTATACATATTTGCAAATTTTGTATAGTCTAATTACATTCTAACATCACAAGGCTTTTCTTTTCTCTGAATCTCCTACTCTTCAGTTTATGAGAAATTTAAGGATATTTTAGATTGGTGAAATCTGAAGTACAAAAAAATTAAAGATTTGGTATTTAAAGTAGGGCGATCATTTTTAATCATTAAGAAGTGGCTAAGTTACTTGATGAAACAGTTCTGATCAGAAGTAGTTTGTACATATGTCATTCCCTCAAATCAGCTAAGTACCTTCCCTTTCAGGAAGCCTTCCTTGATCATGCCTGATCTGATTAAGATGACTTCTCTGAAGGAATAGTTCTGTTGTAGCACTTACCACAGCTGTATTGTCATTCCAGACTTGCCTTTTTTGTTTCCAGATTTAATCAAATTTGTGTGTCCTAGCACTGAGTTTAGGGCCTGGCACATAGAATTCATTCAGTATATCTTAAACTTTCCTTAAAAAATTAGGAACTTAAAAAATCTTATCGTTCCTCAAGCTTATTGTTTTCTGATGCATGAAATGTTCAAGTTGTTGTGCTGTCAATCTTGAACACTCCCATGTACATATTGATCAATGTATTAAAAGTAGAATATACACGTACATAAAATAAAATAAAAATCATTCATATTCTACTACCAAGAAGTCGCAGGGTTATTACCATACATATATATTAGCTATATACTTTAGTTAACTTTGGATTTCCTACTTATATTTTCATAGAAGCCACCTTAATTTTTCCACTTGATTTCTTTGTTTTAATTTGCTTATATTTGGGGAGAAATGTTTACGTGTTGGTGAGCTTGGCCCAGTGATTAAGAGCACAGACTCTAAAGGCAGGCTGTTTTAATTCTAGTGCTGGCTTGACCACATTACTTAAGATTTCTGGACTCTGTTTCCTCATCTCTAAAATGGGGATAATAATAGTAGCTTCTTCTTAAAGTTGTTGTAGGAGTTAAATGAGGTAATATATCTAAAGCACTTAAAATAGTGCAGGATACAGAGTGTGTACTGTGGTACTTATTACAGTAAGTGGCTGTTATTAGTACTACCACTACTGCAGTTATCAAGATGTGACCAACAGTGTTTCATCTATACCAGCTACCCTTCTTCTCCCACCAGTTATTTTGAATCAGATCCCAAACATTATATCATATCAGCTCTTAATATTTCAGTATGTGCAGCTAAACAATAAGAACTTATAATATACGTACAAACAGAAACACTCATACACTGCTGGTGGGAATGGAAAATGGTGCAGTCACTTTGGAAAACAGTTTGCCAGTTCCTTAAAATGTTAAACGTAAATTTGCCATAATGACCCAGCAATTCCATTCTTGTATATCTGCCCACACAACGACTTTCACACACACATGTTTATAGCATTATTTATAATATCCCTAAGTTGGAGACAGCCTAACTGCACATAAGCTGGTGAATGAATAGAAAAAATATGCTGTGTTCATATGATGTAATACTATTCAGCAGTAGAAAAACTGTTGATATATGCTGTGACATAGATGAACTTTAAAAACATGCTAAGTAAAAGAAGTTAGACACAAAAGACTACATATTGTGGGATTCCATTTATGTGAAATGTTCCAAAAAGGCAAATCTATAGAGTCAAAATGGGTGAGTGGGCTGGTGATTTAAGGGAAGAGGGGTAGATTAACAGTTAATGGACATAAGGGGTCTTGGGGGGTAATGGAAATATTCTAGAACTGATTTATAGTGATGGTTGCACAACCTGGTAAATTTACTAAAAACATTGAATTGTACACTTGAAATGGGTGAACTATATGATTTTAAAATATGCCTTAATAAAGTTATGAAAAATAATAACCACAATATCATTAACAATATTAATAATAATTTCTTATTAACAAATAAGGTGCACACATTACAAATAGTTGATATGTCTCAAATTTCTTTTTTATCTGTAGGTTCCTTCTTCATCTTTTTCCCTGTAATTTTTCGTTGGACAGACTTGGTCATTTGTCTTGTAGAATTTCCCCTCAGTCTGAATTTTGCTGTTTGCCTTTTCCATAGTATCATTTAATATGTTCTTCTGTGAATTGATAAGTAGCGCTAGAGGATTGAGTAGATTCAGGTTTGATTTGGAGTGTAGGGGAGGGGACTATTTCATGGGTGGTATCTAAGTTAGAATATTTATGGCCAGTCTTCATGTTTTTGAAAACAAACATTAAATCTGAAATAGTCAAATATAACATGTGATGGGTTTGAAGAATTTGCTTCTTGAGTTTGTACTTTTTCCTTTTTTTTTTTTTTTTTTACAACTGATAACCAGTTTGAACCTGAAGTTAAATGAAAATTTATTCAAACATTTTTTCAAAATTATTTAAATGTGAAATTAGTCCAAGGTGTTTTACTGTGACTTCTAATCTTGTTCATGAGGCTTTAATTTATATTTGCTTTTCTCAATTGTGCTTTGATTATCCATCCATCAGTCTATTCCTTTTCTGGACTTAATTGCAAAAACAATGTTTGATCATTGTAATAAAAGTAGAAAAATGCAATTAAACAAAAAGTGGAAAAGTCACTCATCATTCTACTACCTGTATAATCACTGTCAACTTTTTGGTGATTTTCTCCAGATTTTTTTTCCGTGTGTATATAAACACTCAAGCATACACATACACACGCTTAGATACACACTTAACTAAGCAGACCACAAAGGGCTGGTCAGAGTTCAGAGATGAGCAAGAATATACTATTTAGATCAACTTTTTTTTTTTTTTTTTGTCTTTTTCCGTGTCCGGCAACGGATCGCAACCCTCAGTGTCGCCACCGCACCGGACCGGGACCGGCAACGGGATCGCAACCCTCGGTGCTGCTCCCGCGCCTCGCTCAGCCAGTGAGCGGGAACGGGTCTGTATGTGGGATCCGAACCCTCGGCGGGAGCGCCGCCGCACTTCCCAAGCGGCGCACTATCGCAGTGCGCCACCGGGCCGGCCCCCTATTTAGATCAACTTAATTTGTTTGCTTACCACTGAAACAGTAAACACATCACAAAGGATGAACAGGATAGGGATGCAAGTGAGTGGGTACAGCTCCTCAATGCTTCCTCACATCCTCACAGAGGTGACCCACACTGGTGGTCAGTACCATGAATAAACTGTCAGTCACAAAACACCTGGCATGCCACCGTTTTGTTTTTACCATCAGGCTTGGGGGAGAGACTTCATCAGTACTCAGCAAGTAGTATAACTACTATTAGAAAAGACAATTATGGGCCGGCCCGGTAGCGCACTGCTATAGTGCGCCGCTTGGGAAGCGCGGCGGCACTCCCGCCGAGGGTTCGGATCCCACATGCAGACCAGTTCCCGCTCACTGGCTGAGCGGGGCGCGGGGGCAACGCCGAGGGTTGCGATCCCGTTGCTGGTCCTGGTCCGGTGCGGGGGCGACACTGAGGGTTGCGATCCGTTGCCGGACACGGAAAAAGACAAAAAAAGGGAAAAAAAAAAAAAGAAAAGACAATTATTTGCTGTGATGCCTTTCTATACTTTAGTGTTTCATTTCTTACTATGCTATCAGGCCTACCACAGATACAAACACATGTATATGTNAAAAAAGGGAAAAAAAAAAAAAGAAAAAAAAATTTTTTGTGGGGTTGCCTTAGTGTTTCATTTCTTACTATGCTATCAGGCCTACCACAGATACAAACACATGTATATGTGCACCTGTGTGTTTTAGAATGTAGTAGGCTTATTTTGAAAATCTGCTTATTTTCATTTGAAAAGCATATCATGAATATTTTTCCAAGTTAATATTTCTACACTAACATTTTTTAGTTGGCTGCATAGTATTTGGATGTATAAA